GGCCAAAAAAGTGCAAGATACTGGTACCTTGGCTGGCAAGGCGCAGAGTCGTCAGGTACTGTTCCCTCTTTACAGTTCCATCCGCTTTACAGACCTGCAGCGCCTTGGATACTTGCCCGGACTGGTGCTGCCAGGCCACTGAATCCGTCATGGAAGCGAAAGAGCCAGACACAGACAGACAGCAAGAGAAATAATTAAAAAAAAAAAAAAAAATAGCAAAAAGCGGACACCAAGAAGAGCAAAAGGGCAAAGCCAAAATAGAGGGAAATAGGAGGGCGACGCCGCAACAGGGCGTGAACTGGGAGACGGCGCTAAGCTGTTCGAAGCATCTCAGTGGAAGCTATCCGCAAGATACGTATCTTTTCTGATCTCGAGGTACGTACCCAAAAGGTCAGCCCCACCACGTCCGTCCCGTCACCTTCATCCATCCGTCACCTCCACTGCCAACTAGTACTTAGGCCTTTTGCAGTGTCTCTACTTTCTTCCGTGGCATCCATCTCTCTCTGGATGTGTTTGTTGTGTCTACCTCTCCAGGGCCTCCTCCGAATTGGCTTCCCTCTGATTTCCATTCTTCTCCTGAAATTGGCCTCTGAGAAAGCGGAGACACGAGGCTGGCCCGATGGCGAGACTGACCCGGCTGGGCTGGAATTGAGGGGCGCGGCCACGGAAGGGGGGAAATGGGAGAGAGGAAAAAAAGTCACAGTCACACAGAATGAGGTAGACGGTAAGGTAAGGTAGCGCACAGGGCCGAGATGGAGACGCTGGGCGTCACTTTGCAATCGAGGTTTGAATGGGACATCAAAATGGGACATGAACGTCTCCTCCCCCAGTGGGGTACGTACCTGGGCTAGCTGGCGCCCTGGCCCTGGGACGACGTAAGGTATCGTCGTTCCCTGGGCCTTGGGTACCTTACCTGGGGGAAGATGGAAGAGAAGAATTCCGACAGGGGGGCCAGCAGACTTGACTGGCAGGGGAAAGGCACGAAATTGAGCAGAAGGGCTGCACCGCTGCAGGGCAGAAACCTCCAGGTCGACAGCAACCACTGACCCAGCGCGCATCCGTACGCAATACGCACTGCGCAGGACGGAGTATGTACAAAGTACCGTGTAGTGCAGCCCCAGCAGCAGCAGCAGAAGGGCTCATGCGCAGAAGATGGGGACCTGGGCAGAATTCAGAGAAAGGGAGCCTTCCACCGGGGATTACTTCCAAGTACCTAGGGGAGAGAGACAAGCCGAAGGACAGCAAGAAAGAGAGAAAGAGGGTGTGTCGTCATTCGAAGAAAAAAGGGGGCGTGTTGTTAACATGACGAACCAATGTATGGACGGACCGTCCAAGGAGACTGAGAGTGAAGGCAAAAAGAGAGGAGAGGGCAAGCAGGGAGACGCCGAAAGAGACGGGGGCCACCGGTCCTCCCACCAGCCCGAGAAAATAGAAAACCCAAGAGGACAGGACAAAAAAAAAAAAAAAGAACCATTAAAACAAGGGGCAACGGCAGAAAAATTAAATAAAAATAAATAAAAAAACCTTCAGGAACATGGAGGACAAGACAGGGCCCACGACAACAAGGCAGGGGACATGGCATTCTCTGCAGTACGTACCTTTTACAATTCCCATGCTGCGTCCTGCGTATTCCCCCCTTCCCGGGCTCCGTCATGTCATGGGCAGGCCACAAGCCGCAAGCCGCAAGCCGCACGATGGGCTTCTGGGGAAACTCAAGGGAGGCCTGATATAGAAGGAAAAAGAACAATTCCACTACCAGGAACCGCTGTTGCTCCGGCTCATGCTGCTCGGCTTGCTTGCTGCGACCGCGCTGCTCTCTTCCCTCCTGAGGACAAGGTAAAGGTAAGGATCAAGGTCCGTCCAGACGACGACAACCTCCAAGGTACTGCGGTGCTGTACCGGCCGGGTACAACGCCATGTGCACCGCTCTCATCCAGAACAGGGGTCCCGCTGGCATGGAAAAGGAGGGAGGGTGTGCGAGATGGATGACTCCTCTCTCTGTCTGAGAGACAGCAACAGAGACAGAGACACAGTTGGAATGTCTTGTGCGAGACCACCGCCCGGGGACAATCCAGGAGCAGCTGCCAACGCCAAACCCCAACGCCAGCAGCACTCAACACGCACGCCAGACTCGGCCCATGTCCCTCGTACCCCAAAATCCAAGAGTGGCTTTCTCTCTTGCTCTCTGTTCTCGCCTGTCGCACAGTCGTCGCGGCGCATCTCGCCATGTTTCCACCTCATTTGCCCCCCTCAGGGGCTGCGTGTGTATTGTCTCGTCCTTTTTTTTTTCCTCTTGTATTGCCTCGCCCGTTGGATCATCAATGACACCCCGTTTTGACGAAACAATCTCCTCGTCCCGTCTTTAGTAATCTTGAAATCTTCCTCCCGGGCAGCAGGATTTTGGCACACACCCATGCGCCACGGCAAGAATAACCTCGACGGTTGCCTTGTCTTGCACTCCCGGGTTCGTAATCCAGGATGCACTATGGCAGAATGGCAGCATTGCCGTCCTGCCCGCCTTACGTTGGCCTCGTCGGATCCTGCCAGATCTGCCCTGTCTTGTGCAACCACGAACGTGACTGCGGCTGCTGCTGCTGCTGCGGTGTATATCCATGTCGAAGCCAGCATTGGCGGCGCCATACTATCGCACTTTCAACTTGACATGTACAAGGTGACGGCAGCCAAAGATGCACTCATCCGGGTCCTGCGAGACTCGAAACTTCCGTCTTCGTTGCCAACAAAAGGAATGTCTTCCGTGCGGCGTGCGGCTTACGGTGTGCTCGGCGGACGACGCGGTACACCTCGGCGCCTGGCTCGCTGTGAGATGAGCAAGGTGGGATGAATGGCCAAGTACGGAGAATCCGCACCACCAAATGTTTTTACTGTTGAGCCGACAATGTACAGTACCTGCGTCGAGCGTTGGAGAAAATAGCCCAGGACAGGATTAGCACTTTGCCATGCGTGCTCTGGGGAGATGAAAGTCAATGCTCGGGCATCTCAACAAGGCTCAAGGGACCACAGGGTTGAGCAAAGGAAGGCAAAAGGGCAAACGTACAGACAACTTGGCCCTTGGTCAGGTACATTTGCGACGCAGTGCCACAACGTATCTGTACAGGAATAGGTACCGGTATTTTCGTATTGTCTGTATCCGTACGTAGGCAATCGAATGGCATGAGCCGCCTGGCAAGATGATGCCTTGCTCGATGGCGTCCAAGAAAAACAACATACCCAGTACTCCGTAGACGGCAGCATCAACAGGTACCGTCGGTGACGAAAGTGCCTGTGAGGTCAGTCTGACATGATGATCCCATGTTTGTCGTCCGCTAAAACTAGGTGCCGAGGAACCGTAATGGTGTCTTGTTTCCCCCAGACTCTATTACGTCGACGCCCTTTCTGCACGCGCCATGGCGTTGTGTGCACTGTTGCTCGTTGCCGTCGTTCGCTCATACAATTGCCCGTACCGCCCTATCTTGATTGTTGTTGCATCGCGCCCTGGCCTTTAGTGACGATGCGTTAATGCGATACGTGTCACCCAATTTCCCGTGCTTTCTTGCTTTCCTCGACGTGCTGGTCCGTCACCCATTCAGAACGTGTGTTTGTCGTCTGATTTTGGCATTTTCCCTCGCGTGCCGAATCTCCGCCCTTCTGCCGTCCTCCTCATCCTCGTCGACCACAGGGAACTTGGAGCTTTCGTCCCAGCGTCTCTGCCTTTTGTCATGTCCAGCTGACCTCAACCTTTCTCCAGCTGTTACAAAGTCAAAATGTTCGCAACTTTGCCCTTTGATTCGACCATCAAGGGATTCGCTCATTTCGATACAGGATCGGCGGTTGATTGTTGCTCATCAACAGTCCAAGAACCTGGTGACCCGGTTGCATTCCAACGTTGATGTCGCCGATTGCTCAATGTTGATCTTGGTTGTTCTGCTCGCAGCCTGGTCTCTTCAGATCCAGCGAGTGGTCATCGTTGGCTTCCTGCGAGCAATACGCACATTCCGCACCAGAAATATTCAGCTGGTCTGCACCACCCGCACTCGGACGGCGTGGTCAGCCGGTCGTCGCATGCGGCCGTGGGGGGCGTGAGTGACATACCCAAGGCAGACTGAGGACCTGGAGCTGTCGTTATCGAGTGGCCGACGTCGGGGTACAAGCTCGCTGCAAGCCAGTCTATCCTTCACAGTGATGATAACGCTGTTCTTCCCATGACTGGCCCTCGTCTCCATCCTTGAACCATTCCATCGCGATCCTGAGATGCCGTCTGCGACACGCAACGCTGAGCACCGTTGAGCAAGGATTCTCCTCCAAAAGCGCCGCAACCAGTCGAGGTGACCTGCTCCCACATTTACGTTCAGCAGTGACCCACGCCCCCGTCTCTCGGTGTACCGGGACTCATCTCCTCATTACCTCAGCACACATTTGCCCTTCCCCACCACATTGTTCCTGTCCGGATCAAACGTCTGGGTGTAACGCTTCCAAGGTGGGCACTTGAAAGCAGAACGGTGATCGGTAGCTGCCTACAATGGTCATCCAGCAGGGTACACCCTTCGGCGCTCGCTCCGGCGATACTAAAGTTGTCTTTCCCGTGGTGCTTTCGTGCCCCTCCACCCCATAGTCTGGAAGCGCCGGGACTAACGTCGCGGGAACGACGGAAGAGACTCCTGTAGACTAATTTCCTTGTTTGCATTGGTAGGGAGGATTTATCGTCTCAGAGAGTTTGTGACGGGCAACTGCGAGAAGTCTCGACGTTCGCCTCTACAGCTCTGTAGATATGCAGCCAACGGAGGACACCCGGGACCTTGAGACGACCAAGCAGAACTCTAATTGTTCACTTGTGTTGCATCCTGTGGCAGTAGCGTGTGGCTGGTCATCGCAGACCGTGGCACACGGCCAGAGACGCACCATCAAGAAATGAGGAAAGGGCCCTGATCATCTGCGAGTCCGAGTGGCTATCGAGCCGTTTGATTGGTGTCCCCCTTGCCATCAAACCAAGCTCGTCCTTGACTCCCTCTACCAAAGATAGCAACGAGTCCTTGAGGACGGAGACCCTGACTTGCCCTGTTGCGAGACGGTGAGACCTGATCAACAGAGCCGCTCCAGGGGTGCCAGTGTGTGTGTGTGGTTGTTTGGATGTGGCTTCTGGGGCCGGAACAGCCACGCAGTCTTTGGCGACAGGCGCCGCCTCCATGGGATTCCACCGATCAACATGGGATTATGGACATTACGGGGATTTCGACAGCAGATCGCTGTCCACTGGCGCTGGTGGGTAACGGTCGCAGGTTTGGGCGGTTTTGCTTCATCCTCCCCCATCAGCCTCCATTCCTTTTGTGAGTCACGGGCGTTGCTGTTCAATTTTCTGTTTCGAGGGGTTGAAAGAAAAGAGGGTTTCTTGATGCGTCGACAACCTCTCGTTCTTAACCGACCCCATGGTTGCTGATGCTGCGTGGACAGGGGGTACACTTAGGTGCAGCTGCTCAACCCGCCCTGTTGGGACTGCTGTCAGTGTCGGGCGTTCTCTCCATCTTGGCTCCATATCTGAGTGATCCGTCGCTATGGTTAGCAGTCGCCCGGCCGCCGTGTGATCTGGGTGTGCTGCGTCGTCCGGCGCAATGCGTACGGGAACTTGTCAGCAAACCGACAGAGCAGCCAAAACAGCCCCTGGGGTCCAAATCCAGACGTGGATATGCTTGGCAGCATGCATACAGAGAGGAACCCAAATTTTCCAGTCTTTGCTGCGTTCTACATCGCCATCCTGGCCCTCATCCTTGGCGAATATTCATCATGAGTGACGTGGCATCCAGAAGGTAGATCCAACGGCTGGCTCGCTGATATGAAGTCAGAGTTGCCCTTATCACGCAATCAGGTGGTCGGTCCTCTTCTTCTTGTCGTCAACGTCCGCTGAAAGCAACGGGTTACTGAGTTTGGCGACTATTCACTGCCACATCAAAACTGCGCAATCCCTTCGTCACAATTACTCGTTCTCGGTCAGATGCAGCCGGAACCGAGAAGGGAGACGTGCGGCTACGTACAGTACGTCGTCGTTGATATTGCGATTTGCTCGAGTGTCATGCAGCAGAAGAGCCGAAATGCAAGCTTAGTAGGGAACCGCGGTTGCGCGAGAATGCGAGTTGTGGGGTAGGTAGCATCGCACAAAGAACTCCGGCAAGGGAGTGAGACTGAGGAGTTCGTTCTGACTCTGCTCTCTCGTTCTACCTAATTCCCTCAGACGTTGGTCAATGAGGAATAAACGGCCGCAACCAGGGCGCCAGGGTCAGAGCTTTCTCTGTCAAGAATTCTGAGAGCCTCGTGTAGTGCTGCCGCCATCAATAATCTTTGGTGTGAAAGCCACTCTTGAGGGGGGTTTCGAACGACTAGAACAGGGCAAGCCACACACTCTGTTCCAAGAATGGGCGACGGACCGCCACCATCAAGGAAGATCAGCACGCGCTGCTTGACAGTCCGGCCGGCCGCGGAGGCGGCGCCGAAGCCATTGGGGCCAAATTGAAGGGGGAAAAAGTTGGCGACCTTGGTATCCGCAGAAATCGTCATCCTGCGTTTGCGTATCCAGCCTGCGGGCATTGTCTTGGTTGCCTCAGCATGGCTGGATACCATTATCAGCTCCCTCTGGCCTCTATACTGTAACTGAAGGCCGTCGCGGCTGTTCGGATCTCAAGCGAGAGCTGGGCAAGCAGTGGGTGATTGTGTTAATTCTGAGGAGCTCTGGGCGTGCCTCTGATGGCACTCTTCGAATCAAATCTTGGCCAGCGTAGTAAAGGGAGGGGCGTGTGGCTATCCGAGCCAGTGCTCCTGTTTCAACGGGCATGATGTGGTCGAAGGACCATCGCGAATGGTGCAAGTACCCGTCCAGTACAGTACTTTGGCCTGCCTCAAACATCCAAGCCCGCTTCGCCCAGCGAAACCATTCCGCATCAGAATGGCTTGAATGGCCAAACTGTGGTCGAGCAGGAGGGAAACAGGCGCGGTGGAGATGAGAACTTGACAGGTCCCGTCAGATGGCTGACTGTATGCCGTCTTGTCTTTGCCCGTCACTCTGGGCTTTTCTTAAGCTGCATCGTGTTACTGAGGCGAGGGGTGTTCAGTGGCTGCTCGACCCCTCCACCCAACTCCGCAAACCTGCCCTTGCGAGTAGCCTGTAGGTAGAACGTCGAGATGAGACTTGGGGGACGTCCTCTCTTGGGCACCACCAATAACGTAACGGAGCTGCAGCATCGCATCTGGGGACGACCATATGCAGCCTTGCCCGCGGCCCCCTGCCCACCACGCAACTCCGCATCATCGGCGCCGGAGGGGCGTCACCTGAGCAGAGTGGATTGGCCAACTGGCGCTCGATGACTCCTGCGAGGGCGGGTACACACATCTCGCAGCAAATCTGCTGTTTCTGATGCGCTGCTGAATTCTGTTGCGTTGCTGGCGTGTCTGAGGCGCGTCCTGGTTACCCTGCCCTGATGCGATGCGACGATCAAGACACGTTGGCTGTGCTGCGAAAGAACGATAGCCAACGAGCTGGGGAGCTGACCAGCCGCTCAACCTAGTCTGTCCTGCAGATGACTGTCTTGCGGCGAGGGCGCTGCCATCGTCCTTCACTGCCTCGTGTCTTGAGCCTTGGCTGCGCTCACCACGCTTCTATCTTAAGCATAACGCAGAGAGAAGCTGTCCAGCAGCCGATCAAAGGTGTTGAGTCGGAAGCTACGGCGCTAGCACCGCGTCCGTCGGGCTCCTATGCGGCGGGCATGTCTTGCTAGCCCGGGGAACCGACCAGCTGCGGGGTTCGAAGAAACCGCGGGCTACTGGGGGCGTGGTCGAGGAATGTCGAGTTTCTCCCAACTTGCGTTTTGGCTGGATGGGCGCTGAGAAGTGCATCACACCGACATTTGCTTTCGCGAACGAGGCCGGTCATGTGGTGTTTTCTGACAACGTGCCTTAGTAGCCATGTGCCCGTACAGCACAATGGTATGCAGTAATCAGTTGCTTGGCGATGAGAACGCGGCCCGACGGTCTTGACTCCAATGGACGAGCCAGCAAGCGCTGTCATGCCCCGAATTCCAAGCCGTCGACAAGTCGGCAGATGCATTGCTGCGCGATGCACACAGCGTCAGCGTCATGTATGTCATTGGCACTTTATTAGCCCGGCCTGTCGCGCCTTTCTGCGTGTGCCAAACCTGCGATAGGGGATGAGATGAACGCGGGTTAGACCGGATGTCAATGGCTTTGAAGCATGCAATTGTGACTGCTATATCCTGCTGAGCCGGTAACCGTCTTTTCCGATCAACCGCCCAGCCGCCAGGTAACGAACCCCACCCGGCCGAGGAGTGATAGCCGCCGGATGGTTCCCTTAATTGCGAATGATATTGCGAACGACGATAGCTGAGCCCACGCAACATTCCCTGTCTGTGTTGCATTTGCGCAGGCCTGTCGACTCGTTGCTCTACTTGTTCCCCATTGCTTCTCCATTGCTTGTGTTTGATGAGCAGACTGACGTTGCGTCCAACATGTCAGTCGGCCACGGTTCAGAGACACGTTGAAGTCAATCGGCCGAGACGACCCCTGACGGGGCCACCCACCTGCCTGGGCCTCTAACGTCCCTGAGCGCGAACAATGAGTCGTCTCGCACAACGGACCGGGTGCCGGAGTCATTCAATTTTGAGCCTCGTCCTCTCCCGTTATTAGGGGTCCTTGTCGAGTGCGATTTTGTGGGCTTTGAGCGTAACTGGAACACGGTCGTGGTGTCTCGTGGACGATGCCCCCCTCCCCTTTCTCGGAGTTTGACTCCGTAACCAAGGGTACGGATACGGGTTGAGGGCGGCAGACCGGTAGACTGCTCCCGTCCCTGGTTTTCTCTTGTTTGGCGCCGAGACAGAGGGTCGGCTCAGTCAGGTACGTAGTTGACGCATGGGAATGATAGGTACGGTGAGAAAAGGAGGGTCAATACGGCAGAGATCCGGGAGGGCGTGATGCGCCGATCTTGTCTGTGAAAATCGATATTGTTGAAGAAGAGTTACACCGTTGCGAGATTCAAGGTGTGCGGTCAGATGGAGGGTCGAAGCTGGTTGGTCGATTCCCTGGTCATGCTCTTTGGGCCCCTGCATTGGGTGCTTCTCACCGCCGCCACGTTTGGAACAGAGCCTCTCAAAGGTGGATACGTAGTAGGAACTTTGCAACTTTTGTTCGGTGGACAGCGGTGACCACACCGTTGGTACAAGAGCGTGTGATATGATGGAGCGCCTCCGGCAACGATGCCTTGGTCGACGACAGGAGGAGCAAGCGATCGACGAGTGATGGAGGTGACTGGGCGAGTGAAAGGCGGTAGACAAGCGGCCAGCAAGTCACAGTCACACCACAGGGGCGGAAATAGTGTCAAGGCCCGGGGAAAAGCAGTCATCGTTGGGCTCCCATTGGGTGCGACCCCCTGGAGTGACGTAGTTTTCTCGAAGCCGGTTCGAAGGTTGAAGACGCGTCGAAGGGGTATACAAGAACCCCAATCCCGGGCAAGGACAAGCTGAGGGGGACAAGGGGGAACATACCTAGAAGAGGCACAAATGGCTAAAGGGATCCGCAATCTGGGCCAGTGGTTTCTGGGTATCCGGTGCTGAGGAGAATCCCGGGCCTCCGAGCAAGCAGCAAGCAAGCAGCCCTGCGCTGCACCGAACCGCTGCCGAAGGGGCCCCCTCCCCACGTCGGGCTGGTAGTCGAGGGTCCCTTGTCGATGTATGGTGTTTCGTTCTTGGGGTGCCGTCATCACGGTTGGGACTTGAGAGAGGTTGCAATCTTGGAGAGAGAGAGAATGGTGGGTCTCATGTGATTAGGTAAGGCGATAGATATCATCTTACCTAAGCCCCGCATGTGTACGGACTATGGGAAGGAAGCAGGAAGAAGGGAGTACGTACTGCGACTAGTGTAGCGACGGCAGGAAGAACGAATTTAGCAACCGCTAACTTCTGGGAACCCCTCCTTCCCGCCTCTAAGCTCCAGAATCCAAGGACCAAGGTCCCTATGTACTCCGTACTTTTGTTACTTTTGCGTGTCGGACTTCATCACGCCTTGGTTGGGAGATGCCTTCAAGTAACAATCTGTGGGTTGTTTTTCCCGCGTGAGGCGTAGATGAATGGAGATGGGAATGAGACGGCAGTCCCTTTCCCGCCCACTCGGCGCGGTACGATGCGAGCGGTGTGGTGTCTTCCCTCCATTGGTCTGTGTGAACTGGTGCCGCCAAAACAGCAACCTTCATTGCGACCTTTGGGATTGAGAATCGCGCCTTACAAGTGTACCACTGTAGTGTACGGAGTTGTACTACGTATAGACGAGAGACGGCGCCGCCGAAGTTGCCCATCTCGACGGCAGGGGTAAGCCATTGGGCTATCGACATGGGAGCATGGGGGCACGCAAGAGAAGGACAGACCCAACGTCTTTGCTCGCGTCGCAATAATCATTTTGGGGCCTTGGGCTCTGCCTCTGGGGGGACCATTGCTCCCGTACCCTATCAAAAAATTTCCAAAATGGGGTCACGAGGCCCTTTCCCAAACACAACCTCGTCCCCGGTCGCCTCACCCAAAGCTGGCAGTGTCACACTTTTTTTGACTTCTCGCTCATTTACTCTCTTTTCACGACAAATCGGATGCCGACAAGGCAGCAAATCTCCCGTCCTCTTTATCCCTCCTGAGGTGTCCTAATCCTATTCTCCCGATCTCACCCTTGGCCAAAACGCACCCACACACACCCGTACAGTTCACTGGCAGTCTCGCACACCCATTCTTCTCCCTCGTCCCAATCGCCAGGGTAGGGGACGAGGGGGGTAGCATATCGTATCTCTGAATCGAGGCCATGAGCCCCCCTGCTCTCGTCCAAATAGCCATTCCGCCCGTCTTGTTGGATACTCATCATTCACCACTCTGCCACACGCGCTTACTTGTCTTGCGTTCTCATTTCTTCGGCGCTGTCGGGGGGCTGCTCACATGGGCTCAAATGCACCTTGCACCTCGGGCCCAGGCAAAGGGAGAGAGGAATGGGAAGGTATCATGAGGGACTGAGGGTCTGCGGATGGTCATCCATTTGTCACCCTGGTCGTTGACCTAAGAACTCATCACTCGCCCCTAATTCAATCCAATCCAAGCCAGCTCACGCCACGCCATGTCATGCCATGCTATGCGATGTTGCTTCGCAGCTTCAGTCTTCTCCCTTTTGAGCAGAAGCGAGTCCGACGAGATTGCCCACGCGCCAGCGGAAGAGGCCCAGCCCGAGGGTGTCTTTCACCACCCTTTTCGGCGTGTTAGTCGGGACGATGATGCCCGAGGAAATGGCGCGGTCCTCACTTCCCGTCGCCCTTTGGACCGCTCCAGATCACAACTGTTGGCATTTTGGGGGCGACAGCCGCTGCAAATACGATTGAAATCATGCTCTTGAGCCGAGCAATCATTGAATCCTCACGGCCGGAATGGTCAGACGAGAAATGTCGCTATCGCCAAGTTGGTCCTTCTTCCCTTTACTGGAAGCACACGCCTCCCCCATGTGACATTTGGGCCATCTTGGACAACCCATGGACCAGAGAGTCAGGCTCCTGACAGCTGAGGTGCGCGCCATCTTCATCTCCTCTGTCGCAGCGTAGGCAGTCTCGGGTCTCACATTGCGAGTATCCCCTTTGCGGCTCGGCGCTTGCCCCATACCACTGGGGCAGCCCTAAGCGGAGCAAGTACGGAGTACGAAGGAGTATTTTCCATCTTTTATTTTTGGGCTGCTTTGGGGGATATTTCTTGTGCTACGGAGCATCTCAGACGTGACCCCGTCGCACCGCCAGCCACCAGCGCCATGTCTGGTGTGGGGGATGGACCATGGACAACACACGTGCTAATCCCCTGGGCTTTTGAGTCTTGACACGGCGCTACTGACAAGCCCCAAGGAGATACACATGTCCTCGGAAGTTGCCAGGCTGTGCCACTCGAAAGCTACCAACCGCAATCGTGGAAATGCTGGAGCCTGGAGAGATGGAGTTGCGCCAGAGCCCGCGGATACGGATACACAGTACAGTCTCATCGGTTGCCAACCAACAAAGCAACCCCGGCCCTCTCGACCCTCGTCTACGGGAGTATTCGTACTTTGTACCGCAGTCTGTACAGTAATCTCCATCCATGAATGGACTTGTGGGCTTGTGGTCCACATAGAGACAGTTCATCCTTTTGCTACACAGAGTACACAGTATCGTCCATGGCATGGCTGATGGCAACGAGCCCGTTTCATCCGCCCGTTGCCAAGCATGACGGTAGGATAAACCCGCAAGCAAAGGTGACTAGCTGTGAGGCAAAAAAAAAAAAAAAAAAAAAAAAAAAAAAAAAAAAAACCAATTCCGGTTAATGGCCTTGTTGGAAAGAGTCGAGCAACAACCAACAAAACGAACAACTCCGAGTTCCTGTTTCTTCTGCCCTATTTCACAGTCCCGTCATTGTCTCGGGCTGTCGACCCGCGTTTACTCCAGTTTGCCGTGGGTTGACCTCGTACCGTTCGACGATCCCTCCGTGGTCGCCTTGACCTTGGCCACGCTGTCATCTTGCTGGCTACATTAGGGGACGTCTCCGTTCCTCACGATGCCGACTTGCCGTACCAAGGCTTGTGGTTCTCGCAAGAGCCAAGGTAATTTGGAGGCATGGTCGCGCGGGTGCAGCCCGTAGCCCGCCTGTCCGCCACCTCGCTTCTGCCGCCACTTACAGTCTTGAACTTGGACATGCCAGGAATTGTGAGGGGCTGCACGGCTCACTCGCCGTCATCAGCGTCGGTACCAAGTTCCATTGTCTAGTTGCCCTGCCTTACTGCGTACGGAGTACGGATACCCTAGACAGACAAGTATAGCGCTTCTTTAATCAGGACGACCGTTGAGTTTCCTTCCCCCCGGCCCGTCTCGTATCATCAGCCGCAGCCGCCCAGCACCACAACCGCACCCGCGCATACCCTAATTTTACGGAGTACAGTGCCTGTCTATGAGAAACCCAAGACAAACCAGACCCAGCCGACACAGGGCACAATAGCAGCATGTCTCGTCCTCAGCGTGCGACTGCGCTAGATATCGGTATCCTTGTCCATATCGCAACCCGGCCGGTTAGGGTACCTAGAGGCACTTTTGGCATGCGCCGTTGCGAAAGCCAAGCTTTTCCAGTCCTGCCTGCTAACCCTTGGCACGTTTTGCGCCGGCGAGAGTGAAAGCGGTGTCTCTTTTCTCTCTGCTGCCGACTCTCAGACCTCGTGTGTTCTCCACGCAGGATATCACTCCCTCGAGGGAACCAACAAGGGCTCTGGTCAGCTAGCTTTGCAGACTGTTGATCGTAACCGGCGAGCGAGGTTACTCGGCGTCGACGATGGTGACACGGGTCCAAGTCGTCCCGTCAAGTTCAATCTCGATTTCCTGTCAGCTGACCGTAGACAATCTGATATGTTTTCATTTTACTGCGAATCAATTTTTTCGGTTCTGGGCGTTTCACGCGCGGGCCGAATCCACCCCATCTGAGAGGCTCGAAAGATGAGATTGAAGCCAAGAGACTAGGACGGAGGAAATCAAGCGGCCGAGAGACAGAGAACAGAGACATTGGTTGACTGCATCGCATGATGGACGGCGGATCCGAGTGATTCTCGAACGCATTTGATTCGGTTGCCTTACGGGACCAGCAACAAGGCAATGCCTGTTCGGAACAGCAAACAAAAGAACAAGATGTGTCGGATCCCACGAATCAGTCGTGGATTTGCATGTCTCGCCTCGAGGGTCGTCTTGTCCGGCTTGATTTGAACGATCGGCGCGCATTGAGCATGATGACCAACAGTCTTCTCATCTCGCGGGTGGGTTGAGCAGGCTCCCTCCGAGTGCGGTTGTCTCGATTCTTTGCTCACAGTGCCTCCCTCGAGTCCCCCTCTATGGAGCCACCAGTTGCGGATGGTTTGATGCTTTGATGGTTGGCCTGGCAAGCCTTGTCAATCAACCTTATCCGTCGGTGTGTGTGTTGAGTCGGACTCACGAAAGGGCTCCATCTCAGTGTTTCCACCTAACCTTGTTGCCAAGCCGGGCTTCTCGTCTCATTGCTCGCTGTGGCTCTTTGATAGTGCTGTTTCTTTTCGTATCCGGCCGTTTCCGAGTAGTCTACCTGGCAATTGCTAAAGGCTAAGCTAAGTCTCGTATGCGGCTTACTGATCAGGTCTCTCGCAAAAAGTCTTCTCTCATCTTATCTGGAGGGGTTGGTTCCAGGGTTCAGCTGTCCAAAGAGAGAAAACTGCCTCCCCCCCCATGTTTGTGAATCGCCATTTGAGTTAGTCACAACGGGTTGGCTTGAGGTTTCTCTCTTGTGCCTCTTGAACGCGTATCCTGACCCTCAATATTGAACGTGATTCCAAGGGCCCTGCCAGACCGATGATCCGGAATGTTTGCTCACATGATTGTTGGCAGTTGCCCGGTTCCTGGCCGTTCTTTCCCGGCGCGGTTCTCAACACCCCTTGCCTCATGGGGAAAGAGGCCGTTCCGATCAGGCACAGCCAAGGGACAGCAAGCACGGTGTCCCGGAGGCCGGTGCCTTCCTTTCCCAGTGCCAGTCCATATGTGCATTGTGCGCACCTTGAGAGTCTGGCAGTGACAGATAATGGAAGGTCCAGTGTCCCGGTGTTCCTTCCTTGCAAGTTGCTGGGTATCCATCGCATGGATCCGATGCTTTCTCCCGACTGAGCCTCACTAAAAAGCAACAACATGAACTTGAACATGCCCTGCCCTGCCCCCATGCGGGCTGGAAGAAACAAGCCAGTTCAATGACTTCACCCATGACGGCAAAGCAACGCGACATCGCCATCACTGGCCAATACATCCTAGGTTGCTTTGGATCTTGGATCCCGTCACCGTGTAGC